CAGTTCCACCCAGTGGTGCCACCAAAGAAAGGCCTGGCAATCTGCTTCTGTAAGGTTACAGCCAAGAAAGCCCTGTGGAGAACAGTTCTACTCTGAAGCACATGGGGTGTCCGTGAGTCGAAATCGACTTGATGGCAATGAATGTGTTTTGTTTTGTTCCCCAGACAGAAGGGGATGTCAGATTATAATGGGTATCAGTGAAGAAAGGACAGGGAACCTTGTGGGAGGAGGGTGGCAAATCACAGCATGGACATCTACACTGTACAATTATTTACTTATTCAACAAACATTGATTGAGCCTCTACTGCATGCAAGGTCTTGCACGAGGAGGGGGACACCTCAGTGAACAAGACAGACAAGGGTCCTGTTGCTACCTGCCCTCAGGTGTGTTCTGGGAATTCCTGGGGGGCAGTTTTGGCTGTCATAATGATGGAGGTGCTGGCATTGAGTCGGCAGGGGCTGAGATGCTGGAAGACAGCCTCACACCGCCAAGACTTGTAACATCCATGAATGTCACTCAGTCTGGTAAAGGAGGCCTTCCAAAATGGTTCTTATGAAAAGGGGGCATTGGAGCTGAGGGTTGAGAGCTGCTGCTTCCTTGGGTCGGGCCTGTTCTCAGGAAGCACCCCTCAGTCAGGGGTGTGGAGGGCCATGAGGTGTAGGAAGGTGAGAGGAGAAGGATGGTGGGGCGATGTAAGTTTTGCCATCTTGGCCTCTATCTCAATCCTAGGGGACAGCAGTCGTACCCAACCCATGCCCATGTCTCCTCCATGGACTCAGTTACATGGTGGGGAGCAGACACCCCGATGTCTTACTACTGTTTTATAACCTACTCGGCTTGAGCGTGGAGACTGTGATCTTGTAGTAATATCCTCTCAAAGTAAAAAAAAGCTTAAGCACAAGATATAAGCAGGAAATGATTCCAGATCTGGTGCCCACGGGGGGCGGGGGGCTTGTCAGGAGTAGATGATGGGAGAGCATCAGGTGGCTGTACATTATTGGACATAACCTGGTGCTTGGGGGTTCATGGGTGTTCGCTATATTATTAAGTAAGTTAGAACTTCTGCTTCCAGTACAGTGGATCGACTTGTATTAGACCAACTCTCCTGCTGAGAACAATCAGAAAAGCTGGATTAAGTGTTTGGGTTTTTTTCCTTATCTAGTTGAAGGCCCAGGAGAGCAATTTATGATTGAGGTCATCACCTCACTAAATACTGACATCCAGTGCAGAAAAGCAAGAGCTAATGGGGACACGTTTAAAAAAAAAAAAAAAAAAACCTAGCTCCAAATTATTAATGCAGGTCAACAGAGTAATTCAATAATATATAAAAATTTTTAATAAATTACTGTATTCCAGCATAGGGAAACTAATTCTATTAGAGACTAAAATCACAAATCTGCTTTAGATTTTTTAGAGAAAAATATAAATTTTAAACCTGTCTGCTGCTTCAAAATCAGAATAGGAAATGTAAAACTTACTTTTTTAGGTGCTGAGTTAAGTCCCCTACGTTTTTAAAATTTTGGTAAGTATATATATATCAAAAACTTTGTCATTTCAATATATTTTTACATGTATAATTCAGTGACATTAATTATGTTCATCATGTGCAACCATCACCACTATGTGTTTCCAAACTTTTCTGTCACCCTTAACAGCAGCTCAGTGCCCCCAAGCAATGACTCTCTCTTCCCTCGTCCTTCCTGCCCCAGGTGACTGCTAATGAACTTTGGTCTCTATGCATTTGCCTATTCTAGGTATTTCCTGTAAGTGAGATCATACAATATTTGTCCTTTTGTGATTGACTTATATCACTCAGTTTAATGTTTTCAGGGTTCATCCATGTTATAGCCTGTATCAGGACTTCAGGAAATATCTAACTTGTAAATGTTAATTAAAACAACAAGAACAAGCAGCAAATGTAGCAGAGATTTAAGGTCTCCTAATGTAGATTTGTGGAACCTTGGTGGCACAGTGGTTAAGAGCTCAGCTGTTAACCAAAAGATTGGCAGTTGGAATCCACCAGCTACTCCTTGGAAACCCTATGGGTCAATTCTACTCTGTCCTATAGGTTTGCTCTGAGTTGGAATCAACTTGACAGCAATGGGTTTGGTTTTTTCCGTTACTGTAGAGTTGGAAAGGAGCCCTGGTGGCACAGTAGTTAAGCACTCAGCTGCTAAAGTGAAGGCTGGCAGTTTGAACCCACCAGCTGCTCCATGGGAGAAAGATGTGGCTGTCTGCTTCTGTAATGATTACAGCCTTGGAAACTCTATAGGGCAGTTCTACTCTGTCCTATATGGTTACTAGGAGTTGGAACCGACTTAATGGCAGTGGGTACTGTAAATTTGGAAAGGAGATCTTGTGGCACAGTGGTTGAGTACTCGGCTGCTAACCAAAAGGTGGGTGGTTCAAACCCACCAGCCACTCCACAGGAGTCTGCTTCCATCTGTGAGTTGGAATAGACTTGACAGCAAGGAGTTAATGTAGTACTGGAGTCTGTCTTAGGTATCTAGGGCTGCTACAACAGAATTACCACAAGTGGATGGTTTTAACAGAGAGAAATTTATTCTCTCACAGTCTAGGAGGCTAAAAGTCCGAATTCAGGGCACCAGCTCTAGGGGAAGGCTTTCTCTCTGTCGGCTCTGGGGGAAGGTCCTTGTCATCAGTCTCCTCTGGTCTAGGAGCTTCTCAGACACAGGGACCCCTGGTCCAAATGACACACTCTGCTCCCGGCGCTGCTTTCTTGATGGTATGAGGTGCCCATGTATCTCTGCTTGTTTCTCTCTTTTATATCTCAAAAGATTGATTTAAGACACAACCTAATCTTGTAGATTGAGTCCTGCCTCATTAACATAACTTCCTCTAATCCCACCTCATTAACATCATAGAGGTAGGATTTACAATACATAGGAAAATCACATCAGATGACAAAATGGGGGACAACCACACAATACTGGGAATCATGGACTAGCCAAGTTGACATACATTTTTTGGGGGGACACATTTCAATCCATAACAGAGTCCATGAGTGGTGCAAACAGTTAACATGCTTGGCTGCTAACCGAAAGGTTGGAGGTTCGACTCCATCCAGAAGCACTTGGGAAGAAAGGCCTAGTGATCTACTTCTGAATAATCAGCACATTAAAAACCGTGTGGAGCACAGTTCTACTCTGACACACGTGGGGTTTCCATGAGTCGGAGTCTGGCAACTGGCAATGTAGAGTTATAGGGGACAGATCTAGGAACAGAGGAAGAAGGAGTAGGAAGGTGGAAAACGAAAGACATAGATAAGGAACATAAGATTTCTGCTCCTATGGGCTGGGCCTCAGCTTCTCTGGGCCTCAGCTTCCCCATCAGTAAAATGGGAATGACAGTAGTTGGTGCTTACTTCATGGGGTTGTCTGTGAATGTTAAATGAGTTAATAAATGTAAGACACTTAGAAAAATCTCAGAAAATACTAAATAAAATTAGACATTATTATTAATTCCTCATTCATTCCTTCAGTAAACATTTATTGAGCATCTAGTTGGTGCCAAGGAGCCCTGGTTGCACAGTGGTTATGCACTTGGCTGCTAACAGAAAGGTTGGTGGTTCGAACCCACCAGCTGCTCCGTGGAAGAAAGATGTGGCAGTCTGCTTCTGTAAAAGATTTACAGCCTTGGAAACCCTATGGGGCGGTTCTGCTCTGTCCTATAGGGTCACTATGAGTTGGAATCACCTTAATGGCAGTGGGTTTGGTTTTTGGTTAGTTTGTGCCAGATATTGGAGATATGATTGGCACATGGTGAGTGCTCAATAAGTAGTATGAATGAATGTAATGGGCTTTTAAGGATAAGTAGGGGCTTGCTCTAATGGGCAGGTTGGATGGTGCTCCAGGCCTGGTGGCATGCAATAGCCCAGTGAGTTTGGGGCACCAAACAGGGTTGTGAGGGTAGAAAGGAGGAAGGCAGATTGAAACTGCCATGCCAGAAAGCTTTGAACCCCAGATTAGGAAAGAAGCTTTGCTCCTGAAGGTGTGGGGATCCATGGAGATTTCCATGAAGGACTGTGAATGCCACCCTGAGATGTGTTATTTCCCTTCAGGTACTCGGGAATGTTAGTCACACCGAGACCTGTTCAGCTTCCCCAAACTGCTGTACCTGTGCCCGAGACCTTTGTGTCTCCCAACGGCCCATCTCATGGGTGGGGAAACTGAAGGCCAGGGAGCAGTGGGGACTGATCTAGCATTCACTTGGGGAAACAGTCTGGCATCATCTGGTAAACTTAGAGATACGCAAACCCTACAACCCACCAATCCCCTCCTGGTTGACTATAGGCCTGAGAGATGGGCATGCCCATGTGGACCAGGAGAGTGCACAACAGCAAAACCTGGAAACAGCTCAGATGTTAACAGGAGAAGATGAATACACAAACTCTACAGTCACGCAATAGAATACTATACAGCAGTGAAAGGAACAACTACTGCTACAGGCAAATATGAATCTTAGGAACATATGAGAGGGTTGGGTGCAGAGCACAGTGATTAAGAGTGTGGACTCTGAACCCAGCCTGCCTGGCTTGTAATCTGGGCTCTACCCCTTGCTGGCTGGAAGATATTAGGGAAGTCATTTAGCCACGCTGTGCCTCAGTTTCCTCATCTGTAAAAAATGGTAATAGTGTGCACCCCACAGGCTGCTGGGAGGATTTAAATGAGTCAGTATTTGCAAATAGTTCAAAACAGTGCTTGGCACACATTAAGTGCTACACAAGTGCTTGTTAGGTACAAAAAAAAATGTTGAGTAGAAAAACAGCTCTCTGAAGATTACATTTTCTTTTAAGTTAAAAAACAATGAAAGCTAAACAATATGTTGTTTGGGCATTTATATATGTTATAAAATTTCTTTCTTAAAAAAGAAGATGATAAGCAGAAAGTAATTTGGGAGTGGCAGGGAGGCGAGGGTAAGGGATGAGGAAGTGAGCCAGAGGGGTGTGCGTTGTTGGTAATGTTCAGGTTCTCAGGCTAGGCGGTGGGATCATAGGTGCTCCTTATTTAATGAAAAGGACAAGTTTTAGTGCAGTAGCCTTTCAGGTCTGGAGGCCTTTGACCTGTCCCCAGGCTAACTGGATGCTTTTGGGGAGGAAGGTGGCCACCCAGCCCCATGACTGCTTCTCACCCCAACGAGCCCTGCAGAGGTGCTGCCGATGGCTTAACTCTCATCACAGGAACAGACCAGTGAGGGCAACTTAGGGACCGCAGCCAATCAATCAGAGGGCGGAGAGCCTGAGCCAGTCAGAGGGAGATGGGCCCCAGACAGTCAGAAAGGAGGAGGAGGACCTGAGCTGGTCAAAATGAGATGGCTCTAACCTGTCAAATGGAGGAGGACCCCAGCCAGTCTGGTCTGAGGGAGGAGGGTCCAAGCCTGTCCAAGGGAGGAGGAGGCCAGGCCCACTGAGGGGCCCCTGGAGGACTTGTTTCCCTTGTGGTTTTTTTGTACTTCCTGTTCCCTTGCTCACTGCGGAAGTTCCTCTTCTTACCCTGCACCCAGAGCCTAGCCAGAGAGGACAAGGGCAGGAGGCGCCATGAGTGGGGGCCCTGTGGGAGGCAGACCCGGGGGCCGCGGAGGTCCAGTTCAGCAGAACATACCCTCCACCCTCCTTCGGGACCACGAGAACCAGCGACTCTTCGAGATGCTTGGACGGAAATGCTGGGTAAGCTGGGGATCTCCTGGTCCTCTCTGTCTCCCTTTCCTCCTCTTCTTCCCCCTCCTCCCTGCTCATCTTCCCCATCCTTCCCCTCTCCTCCTCTTCCTTCCCCTCCTCCCACTCCTCTTTTTCTTCTCCATCATCTCTTCTCCTAGAATCCACTTGCCACTGTTCACCAATCCCGGGAAGATTGTTAGCGCTACTTACCTTCCCTCTGTCTGCAGCTCTTCCTTTGGGCCCAGGGCAGCCACGGGCAAGGAAGGACCAAGTGTGGCTCCAAGATCCTCTGGCTGCCCTGACCAGACTCCACTGACCCCTGCTCTCCCCTTCCCAGACACTGGCTACCGCAGTTGTTCAGCTGTACCTGGCGCTGCCCCCTGGAGCCGAGCACTGGACCAAGGAGCATTGTGGGGCTGTGTGCTTCGTGAAGGATAACCCCCAGAAGTCCTACTTCATCCGACTCTACGGCCTCCAGGTGACCCTCAACCTCCACTGAGCATGCAAACCAGTTCTCAATCTGCAAACCCAGATCTGTGTCCATAGCCCTAAACCCTCCTACCAGATCCTGAATCCCTGAGCCCCAGAACCAAACACTTCACCCAGACCCCAAACTTTGGTTCTAAATCTGCAATGACTTACCTAGAACTCTTTTATGAAAATCTCTAAACCCCTAAATACAGTGAGACCTGTGAGAGCCGAAACTTGACAGGACTGCCATGTTTTTCCGGGTCTCAAAAGTTTTCCACCTTTGACAGAGTGCAGTCTTACCACTTTCTATTGCACTCTATTGGTGGAAAATATTTTAGTTTTCCTTCTCTGACAGGTTTCCACCTTACACAGGTTCTGGCTTTCATAGGTTTTACTGTATTTAGTACATGTCCTAAGCCTAATCTCTTCCACAAACTCCAAAAAAATGAGCACTATATTTATACCTGAACTTCAAATGTGTTCTAAAGTCATAATTATGGCTCTCAGACATCCTCTATCAAAACTCTTGAACTCCAGATGTTTGCCTAGCTCCTAGGTCATAAATCTGTTCCCCAAACCCCAAACCTGAATACCCCATTTAGTCTTGAACCCAAAAATCTGTCTTTTTTTTCCTTGCCTGACTGCACTGACAAGAACCTCCGGTACAATGTTTAATAGAAGTGGTAAGAGAGAACATCCTTGTCTTATTCCTGATCTTAGGGGGAAAGCTTTCAGTCTTTTACCATTAAGTATCATGTTAGCTGTAGGTTTTGCATATATACGCTTTATCAAGGTAAGGAAGTTCCCTTCTATTCCTAGTTTTCTGAGAGTTTTTATAGGAATGGATTTTGTTTTCTGTCAAAAGCTTTTTCTGTGTGCATTGAGATAATCATATGGTTTTTCTTTTCTAGTTTGTTACTATGATGAATTATGCCAAATCTGCCTTTTAAACCCAAACATGGACCCCAGAATTCCCATATTAAAACTCCTGAACACTCAAATACTGAGGTAGCTCCTAAGTAAAAAATCTGTTCCAAAGACCTCCAACCTGAACTCTTCAGGCTTAAACCCCAAATTTATCCTTCAAAATCCATAAAGATGGTCCCAGCATAACTATATCATGACCCCAGGGCCCTCAAATATTGACCGAACTCTTAAGCCGTAACCCTGCTCCACAAACCCCAAATTGCACAAACCTTGGCTGAACTTACCTCATAACTTCCAAGTCTATATTTCTGAACCTTAAATCTTGACCCCAGCCCCCAAATAATTGGAACACTACCTATCCAAATGAAGACCTTCATTAAGGTGGGGTGTGTGTAGGATTGAATCTATGAATGAGCGTCAGTTTCCTAGGACTGGAGTCCTAAATCATCAAATTCAGGCCCCCAACTCCCACATCTAAAGCCCTGAACCCCAAGTACAAACCTCTCACAGCAGTGTCTGGCCCCATACTGTACTCCAACCCTCCACATCTGACAGCTGGACCCCCAGCTCTCTGATACTGAGCTGAAAATATCCAAATCAGATCCTGGGGCCCCAAATCTGGACACTATGCTCCCTGCCCAGATGACAAAGTCACGTACCCGGAGCAAGCCTCAGTGCCAGTGTGCTTCCCACCTTGCCCCTCTCCAGGCTGGCCGGATGCTCTGGGAACAGGAGCTGTACTCACAGCTGGTCTACTCCACTCCCACTCCCTTCTTCCACACCTTTGCTGGAGATGTAAGTGACCAACCAATCCCTGGGCCTCAATTGGGGTGCAGGGAAGAGATGGGGAAAAGTGGGGGGCCTGAAAGGCTGCTGACCCCAAGTGTGTGCAGGACTGCCAAGCGGGGCTGAACTTTGCGGACGAGGGGGAAGCCCAGTCCTTCCAGGCCCTGGTGCAGGAGAAGATACAAAAAAGAAATCAGAGGCAAAGTGGAGGTGAGGAGGCCCTGGGGGAGGTAAGTGTAAGGGTGGGAGGTGGAAAAGCCCCTCCCCTGGTTCTGGTTCCCAGTCCACCTGTCTCTCCACAGACAGACGCCAGCTACTCCCAACACCAGCACCAGCCAATGAGGGTAAGTCCTTTAGTGCAAGTAGGGGTAAAGAAAAGGCTAGGCCAGGAACCTATGGCAGGGTTGTGATAACTCTCTACCCACTCCATTTTCCCAGAGAGAAGAGGAGGGCTCCCACCCCTGCCCCCACACCCAGGTGGAGACCTAGGGGGTGAGTACTGTTTCTTCCTTGTGTCTCTGAGTGGGTGGTAGAATGGTGGATGGATGAGTAGTCGGGTGGGAGCGGAGATAAATGGTAAATGGGTGGATAGGTGGGCAAATGGATGGATGGGTGGGTGGGCGGGCAGGTGGATTAATGTATAGATGAGTGGGTAGATGGATGGATGGATGAATGAAAGGATAGATGATTAAGTAAGTGGATGGATGGGTAGATGGATGGATGAATGGATAGATGGATGGATGAGTGGATGGATGAGTGTGTTGATGGATGAGTGAGTGCATGGATGAGTTGACGGTGGATAGATGGTTGAGTGGGGGGATGAACTGATGGTAAGATGAAAGTATAGATAGATATATAGATATATACCCATTGCCGTCGAGTCGATTCTGACTCATAGCCACCCTATAGGACAGTGTAGAACTGCCCCATAGGGTTTCCAAGGAGCAGCTGGTGGATTCCAACTGCTGACCTTTTGGTTAGCAGCCCAATGCTTAACCACTGTGCCACCAGGGCTCCATATAGATGTATAGGTGGGTGTATTAATGTATAGGTGAATGGGTAGGTGGATAGATGGAAGAACGAATAAATGGATGATTGAGTGAAGTAATGAATGAATGAGTGAATGAATGAACCGCGAATAAATGAATAAGTGACAATATTTCAGTAAGTGAAGGAAGCAATGATTGAATGAATGATTAAGTACATGAATAATTTAACAAATTAGTCAATGAGTCACTGACTGAATGAGTCAATAATTAAGTGATAAGCATGAGTAAATGAATGAATCAGTGAATGTATGAATGGTTTGTGGGACCCACCCACTTCTCTGTAAACCCTACTTGGACCCCTCACCCACTCCATAGGTGACCATCAAACACAGACACACAGATTTCCCCTACAGTCTTTGTCTTCCCACCTCTTGTCCCTATGCTTTGATTGGTAGGTATATAATAGTTGCCTTATTTTGCCCACAGGCCCACCAGCTGGCCCACTGGCCTTGGGGCTGGTGACAGTAGACATCCAGAACCCGGACATCACGAGTTCACGATACCGTGGGCTCCCGGCACCAGGACCTGGCCCAGCTGACAAGAAACGCTCAGGGAAAAAGAAAATCAGCAAGGCTGATATTGGTGCACCTTGTGGATTCAAGTGAGAACCTTCCCACATCAGGACTGTAGATCCCTGGGTGGGCAGATGACAGTAGACAGGATGACAGCTTAGTGGATGGATGAGTAGATGGAAGGATGGGCAGATGGATGGGTGGGCAGATGGGTAGGTGGATGGGTAGGTGAGTAGATGAGTGGATGGGTGGGTGGGTGTAGGGCTGGAACTAGGCAGAGGCAAGTGAGGTGCCTAGGGTGCAAAATTTAAAGAGGCAGTCGCTCTCAGGGACATGCAAGTACAATTCACAACTCTGAGAGTGAGTGCCTCCTTAAATTTTGCACCCGAGGCACGTCGCTTGCCTTGCTTTCATCCCACCTTGGGTAGACAGGCGAGGGGTGGATGAATGGATGGATTGACAGATGTGTGGATGAATTTGTTCAATGGATAAGTGGAGAGAGACGTGTGTGGTTGAATGGGTAGACAAATGAGTAGATGGATGGAAAGGTGGGCACATGGGTAGGATGGATGGGTAGATGGGTGGGTGGACAAATGTGAGGACAGATTGGTGGATAAATAGGTAAACGGATGCGTGTGGGAAAATGGGTAGAGAGATAGATGTATGGATAGATCGGTGGTCACACAGGTGAATGGATAGGTGGACGAATGGATAGGTGGACAAATGGATGGGTGGACAGATTGTCACCGCAGACTATGGACCCTTTCTAATTCCATAACTCCTGCTGTCACTCACTCACTCACTCACTCATTCACTCATGAATGACTCATTAATTCTGGCCCCTCAGAGTCCTTCTGGGCAGGAGAGGGTAAGAGGGCTTCTCTAGGAAGGGAGTGAAAGAAGAGCAGTGGGGCTTCACTGGGGTCTCCTCACTTCCCCCAGACATGTCAGCCACGTGGGGTGGGACCCCCAGAATGGATTTGATGTAAGTAACCTTGAAGTCTCCTGAACCTCATTCAACTCCCACCACCCTTCCCAGACCACTCCTCAGACCCCACTCTGTGGTCCCTACCCCTTCCCACACCTCTCTCAGATCCCTCTCTGGGGTGGATCCAGTAATAATCTGTGCCCCTTCCTTCTTCACCTTATCCCCCCACCCCTCCCCTGGCCTCTTTCCTCCTGGGTAGGTGAACAATCTAGACCCGGATCTCCGGAGCCTGTTCTCCAGGGCAGGCATCAGTGAGGCCCAGCTCACCGACGCAGAGACCTCTAAACTTATCTATGACTTCATTGAGGACCAGGGCGGGCTGGAGGCTGTGCGGCAGGAGATGAGGCGCCAGGGTGAGCCCCCCACCTCCTATACACCCCCTTCTTATCCAGCTCTGGCAGCTAATACCTAAGAGATACACTGAAGTCACTCAGTCCTCATGGAGACCCCTCTACTGCTTAAATTGGGAGTTGGTTAGTTGGGGTACTCATTTTACAAATGAGTAAAACTGAAGCTCTGAAAAAAAACTATAATAATAGCAGCTTTGTATTATTCTCCCCCTACAGAGCCACTTCCACCACCGCCACCCCCATCCCGAGGAGGAAACCAGCCCCCCCGACCCCCTACTATGGGGGGTAACAAGGGTCGTTCTGGCCCACTGCCCCCTGTACCTTTGGGGGGTACTCCGCCCCCGCCAACACCACGGGGACCCCCACCCCCAGGCAGAGGGGGCCCTCCACCACCACCCCCTCCAGCCACCGGACGTTCCGGACCACTGCCTCCCCCACCCCCAGGAGCTGGGGGTCCGCCCCTGCCACCACCCCCGCCACCACCACCACCACTGCCCAGCTCTGGAGATGGACCAGTTGCTCCTCCACCCCTTCCTGCTCTGGGGTCTGGGGGGGGCCTGGCCTCTGGTGGGGGTCGGGGGGCACTTTTGGATCAAATCCGGCAGGGAATTCAGCTGAACAAGGTGAGGATGGGCAGGATAGAGGGATGGGGGTCTGGGGCTCTGGGGTATGCTCTGCAAGTCAGGGTATTGGAGGGCCAGGGGCAGAGACTGGTGGGGGTCCCAGGTTTTGGATTCTGGGGTTCAGTCATAGAGTTGGGAGGTTGTGGGGGGAGGTGGGCTTGGAACCTTGAAGGGGATTCGAGTGTTTGGAAGGAGAAATAATGAAGAGGCAGGGAGGAATGCCCCTCTGGCAGGCGCTGAGCCCTCTGTGCTGTGCACCTGCTTGCCGCAGACTCCGGGGGGCCCAGAGAGCTCAACGCTGCAGCCACCACCACAGAGCTCCGAGGGGCTGGTGGGGGCCCTGATGCACGTGATGCAGAAGAGAAGTAGAGCCATCCACTCCTCAGGTGAGAGCCTGGCCCTCCCCAGCCTGTGGCTGTCCTCCACAGGCCTGTCCTGGGCCCATCCTGCCAGGACCAGGTACCTGCTTTTCAGGGCTAGGGATGGCATAAAAGCAACCCCAACAGTCACCATCAATATTAGCATTAGTCCCAGGTGTTGATGACAGTATTAGCAGGAATCTTGTTACTTGACAATGTTAACATGAACTCATTATGTGACAATAAAATAATTAACTCTATCTTTGACAATATTAGCATTAATGCCAAGGTGTGTCCACGATATTAACTTTAACCCCATAATGTGGCAACTATTAGATTGACTCATTATGTGATGATGATAATAATGTAACTAACTCAATCTTTTTATAAAATGTTAACATTCATTCCCTAATGTGTCAACAATATTAACATTAACCCACTACGAGACAATAATAACTTACCTCACCTTTAACAATAATTTTCAAATTCACCTATTAAGTGACACACTGATTAACATCAACCCTTTGGGTGACAATATCACAAGTAACCACATTTTTGACAACAATATTAATTTTAACTCCAGCTGGAACCCAGACCCCAGCTATAATCCCTATATTGTCCCAAACTGAAACTCTGACTCTCACTCCTCTGAAGAGGCTCCTTCCTTATCTAGTTGAACAGGTCCCACATCTGTTTTCCTAACAGGAGACCCCAACCCCCAGCACCATGAGTCCCCAGCTTTTCAAGCCCTAGGAACCTGCCCCCGCCCCCACACCCTGAGGCTTTGAAGCCTCTGGCCCATCCTGAGTTCCCACTCCATGTCTTCTCTCCCTCCCTCCAGATGAAGGGGAAGACCAGGCCGGTGATGAGGATGAGGATGATGAATGGGATGACTGAGCTGCTGTCCCCAGCGTGCCTCCCCATAGTCCACCTGTGGCTCCCTGCTTCCCACTGGTACCTGCTCTCGTCCCCGCTCCCTTGGCAGCACCCTACTCTCTGCATCCAGGCACTAAGCCCTGTTTCTTCCCAGTCAACCCCTCCAGTGCTGTTATCCCTGACTGGCCCACACTCACCCTAGCAAAATTTCTCAATCCTCCTCACTCATTTTTGAAACAAAGATAAAGTAATCATCTTTTTCTCTCTCTAAATCTGAGTTTGCTTATATTCCAAATGTGGGAGTTTGGGGTCCCTCTTCCCCAAGGTCCCTGATATTTATTCACCTAGCTTTACATGTATGTCTTCATTTATTCACTCAGCCATTTAGCCTGTATTTCTTTGTTTCCTCCTGTCCTTCTTTCTTTCCACAAACATTTATTGCCACTGGCTCCTCCCCTCTCCTCCATGACACCCCCCCTCCAAAAAAAGGAGTAACTCAAAACTGTCCCTGTGTTTGAAGCTTTTCCCAGGGGAGTAATTAGAAACTCTTGCAAGTTAAAGCCTAAAATCGAGGTCTCTACCCCTTTCCATTTCTGAAATCTGGTAGATTCAAGATCTCAGGTATCCTACCTTTAGAGAAGGAGGAGGAGAGGGGCAGGAAGATAAAGGTGAGGGAGAATCCACGTTTCCAAGGGCAGGTTTCCAAGACCAGTGGAAGAATTTCTGAACCATTGAGGCAGAGGTAGAGGGAAAGGGAGGAAACCAGCTAGCCATTGGGGGTGCTGGGGACAAGATGTCGGGAGTGGGAGCTGGCTATGCCCCTTAAAAATTCTCCCAGAACCATGGAAGAGAGAATTCCCCTGGAGCAGGAGAAGGAGGGGGCATGTCCCAGGTTTCCTTTAATTCTTGAATTCTTGCATTATTCCACTCCTACCCTAGCTGGCCAGGCCCCCAGCATGAGCATTGAGTCTAGAAAGGGCCTGTCAGGTATCAATTACCCCCTTCCCACCCCTGCAGAAACCCTAGAAATCCAGTGCTCCAAGACATCTCCCTCCCTCTTGGCGCTAGGGCCATTTCTCGGTCTTCAGACAGGAAGGCATCACACAACCTCTGAATCCCCTTGAGCACAGGCTAAGAGAAGGCAGAGACTCAGGGTAAAAGAATTGACTGTGGGCAATTTGCTTGACCTCTCTGGGCCCCAGTTTCCTCAGTCTTTAAAATAGAAATAAAAATGCTTACCTCGTGGGGCTGTGTCAAGAATTAAAGTAGATGGTGTCTGCAAAGTGTCTGGATCATTGTAGGCATCTATAAACGTTAGCTGCCACTATTGTTGCTGTGGTTGTTATTACTGAATTTCACTGACTCTGACTCACCATTGATTATAAAATGCACCATTATTTTATGTATCACTAAGAAAGGCAAAAAAATACCGCCAATTAAATTATGACCCAACAGTACTTGTAAGACGCAGGCTGATTTCAGAGATGTTAAAAAATTAAATGCCTCTGGAGGCCTGGCTGGTTATGTTGTTTCTTGACCTGCCTTCTGGTTCCACATGTGTGTTCACTTGTGAAAACTCATCATGCCATTCACCCATGGTCTGTCTACTCTTCTGTACATGTGTTACACTTCACCAAGGGGTTTACATTAAAAACAGGTCCAAATATTAGCCCAAGAGACAGAAAGGGCCACATAAACCAGAGACTCCATCAGCCTGAGACCAGAAGAACTAGAAGGTGCCCGGCTACCACCGATGACCACCCTGACAGGGAACACAACAGTGAGTCCCTGACAGTGCAGGAGAAAAGTGGGGTGCAGAACTCAAATTCTAGTAAAAAGACCAAACTTAATGGTCCAACTGAGACTGGAGAGACCTCGGAAGACATGGCCCCTCTGTTAGCCCAGAACTGAAACCATTCCCAAAGCCAACTCTTCAGACAAAGACTTGACTATGGGACATAAAATGATACTTGTGAAGCACGTGCTCCTTAGCTCAAGTAGCTACGTGAAACTAAATGGGCAGCTCCTGTCCGGAGGCGATATGAGAAGGCAAAAAGGGACAGGAGCTGGTTGAATGGACACGGGAAATCCAGGGTGGAAAGGAGGAGTGTGCTGTCACATTATAGGGAGAGCAGCTAGGGTCACATAGCAATGTGTGTATAAATTTTTGCCCCCAGCACTGAGAGGCAACATATACAAGAGACACTAGATTAATACTGAACAAACAGACAAATGGCTGTGGGTGGGACACAGGAATACTAGAATGACCTCTTACTTTTGAGGTCTCCTGAAAAGGTGCTAGTTGCAAAGGGTTAACTAGTCTGCAGAGTTAACTTGCATAAGGTCACACAATTTAGTAAGTGGTGGAGCCAGGATTTGAACCCAGGCAGTCTGGCTCCAGAATTCATGCCTTTACCTGCTACATTACACTGTTTGGAGAGGCCCAAAGGAAGCTCTCCGTCACTAGGAGACCGCTATAGCTTCCCTTCAGATTCAGGTGGGAAAAGGTCATGCCTTAAACTACTCTTGGGGGTTGGACAGGTCTCCAGGACTCCTGGAAGTAGGATGGCCCAGTAGGACCAGCTTGTGACTCTTCTAGAAGGAATAAGAGAGGGAAGGGGCATGCATGGTGGGATTGTGCTTTTGACTGTTCCATTTCTGACAAGGAGAGGCTGATGGAATGTCAGACTGACCAGCCATTCCTCCAACCAGCTCACAGCTGGACCAGCAGGAAGACAGAATAACTGTTTGGTTAACTGTATAACCATTTGGTTGACTGTATAACTCATGGACCAACAGAGAGAGGGGCAATTTGAGGAACTGACAGTGTGGTTTCCTGATGGTGTGAGGTACTGAACATTTAACTGAACTACATTCTGCCTGGGCCTGACTGGGGCTGGTGGCCTGATAGTGTGGAGGAGAGGCAGCCTCCTGAAACAATTACAGGCTGACCAACTGACTGATGGTGTTGCTGCTGGACTGGTAGGCAGGATGTTACAGGCCTGAGGGAATGTTTAAATGTTAATAGTCTGATCATGTATAAAGAAGGGCTATGCTGAGGGAATTTCAGGTTGACTAATCAACAAATCTGTGGTTGCCTGATGTTGTTGTTATTGTTAGTTGCCGTTGAGTTGGCTCCAAGTCATGACAACCTTAAGTATAACAGAATGAAACATTGCCTGGTCCTGTGCCATCTTCATGATCGTTGGTATATTTGAGTCTATTGTTGTGGTTATTGTGTCAATCCATTTCATTGAAGGTTTCCCTTGTTTTCAATGACCCTCTATTTTACCAACTATGATGTTCTTTTCTAGTGATTGGTCTTTCGTGATGATATGTCCAAAGTAAGTGAGCCGAAGTCTCATTCTGGTTGTATTTCTTCTAAGACTGATTTGTTTGTTCTGGCAGTACACACTGTATTCGATATTCTTTACCAACACCACAGTTCAAATGCTTCAATTCTTCTTCTTTCTTCCTCTTCATTGTCCAGCCTTTGCATGCATATGAGGAGATTGAAAAGATCATGGCTTGGGTCAAACACACCTTAGTCATCAAAGCTTTAAAGCTTCTTAAAACTTTAAGGAGATCTTTTGGCTGATAGGAGCCCTGGTGGCACAGTGGTTAAGAGCTTGGCTGTTAACCAAAAGGTCGGCGGTTTGAATCCACCAGCTTCTCCTTGGAAACCCTATAGGGCAGTTCTACTCTGTCCTATAGGTCACGGAATCGACTTAATGGCAATGGGTTTGGTTTGGCTGATAGGCTGCTGTATATGGTGACTGACTGACTGTCTGTTATGGATTAAATTGTGTCCCCCAAAAATGTGTGTCAACTTAGTGAGGTCATGATTCCCAGTATTGTGTGATTGTCCACCATTTTGTCATCTGATGTGATTTTCCTATGTGTTGTAAATC